GGGGAACAAGGATGGACGGGGACGCGTCGGGTGAGCACAGGACGATCGGGCGGGAGGAGAAACTGCGGAGATGGACGTACATTACTGTGTGTGCGTGGGGGTCCGCGGAGGACGGGTGAGACAGGTGCACGCGCGAGAGCTGGCTCAGGAGGGCGCAGCGAGAGTGACACAGACCTCGGCGGGACAAGCAGACAGCGCAGGGGCCAGGGGCACGGACGAATTATCAAGCTGAGTAGTAGGGCAGGCAAGATAGGAGGACGTGTGATTTGGACAGGGATTAGAATTAGTAGGGCACACGCTCGACGGCGAGCGGGGCTCTGGGGGTGAGGTAGGGGAACGGGAGACGCGGCGGCGGGACGGAGGGAGAGGGAGGGACGGGGCAGGGCGACGGCGGAGGGAGAGCGAGGTGATTAAGTAAATCTGGCAAGCCTCGATGCGGCGCTCTCTCCCTTCCAGCTCAACATAGTCGCCCACCCGCGTCCACCACGCTCCCTCCCAGCGCTCCGACCTCGAAAGCGATATCCTCTAGCTTTTCGCCCGACTCCCCTTTCGCCCGCGAGCCTTTCCCGGACGTCCTCCGGGCAGCCCGGCGCACAGCCCACCTCCACCCGCCGGGCCTGCCGCCCCCTCGCCGCCTCTGCAACGCCATAATGAAATGATAGCATAGGCAGCGTATACGCACGCGCGTCGACATGATCGCTCGCGCAGGCTTAGGAGATCTGTCCATTCCGCTCGGACGCGGACACGGACCCCCACGCGTTCCTTTGCACATTCCACGCCCTCCCCTCGACACCGAACGTGCGGGCCAGGCAACGCCCGGACCGACGTCAGAGATTCGGGGTCCGCTTGCGGGGGACGTCAGATGCTTCTGGCAGGCAGACCGGCCGTCCTTCACACCACGGCTGCCCTGGCAGGTCACACAAGAAGCCCGGAGTCGAACAGGATGCGCCGTGAACCTACGCGAGCATGGCAGATCGCAAAGATCCCCGGTCCCAGGCGTAAGTGAAGCTCAGGCCCCGGCCGTCCTGCCCTCTAGATGTGCCCTGCCACCGCCCCATCATCATGACGACTCGCCCTCTCATCATCAGCCCGCACACAGCCTCCCGCGCACCCGCCCGATTTGCCCTCGCACGCACGCGCCCATCACACCCACCTCCCATCTCCCGATCACCCTCGCCGTGCACACTTTCAGCTCGACGCAGGATTACCGCGCGCGTGCTTCTTCATTCCACCAGGCGACCTCCCTGGGTCGCGCTCGAGCCTGACTCTGCACGCTCTGCGCGCGTCCCCTCCCAAGCCTCCCTTCGGCACCGGCCACCGCCTCAGTCAACGCCGAACGGTGAGTAACGACCGTCCACGCGAGCGAATAAGAAAGAACAAAGCCGTCCTCGGGAGGCACCCGCCCGCACTCGCGGCTCGCCATACCCGACCCCGCGCAGCACAGCATCGTCGAGCCGGCGCGCGTGCCCACGGCGATGCTTATTCGCGTTCTTCCCTCGTGCGCGTGCGGACCCGAGAGGGCCCAGGGGGGGCGGACGTGCGGCACGGGCGGCGGCTATGGCGGGGTTGGGCGGGCGCAGGTCCGTTCGGGCACGGACGATATGCAGTTGTTGCGACTAAGTTGTCGCTCCGGAGAGGACGCCGCTGGCACTACGAGACCGGGCTTATGTGGGCGCACGTCGGTTCGCTGAGGGCCCGGTCCGCAGGCTTTGGCTTTGGCTCGTCCAGCTCGAATTACGGATGTGCTAACGTCGTACCGTTTCAAGTTTAACACCGCCGCCATGTGCCCCCCGTGCGCTACCGCCGTTCTCACACCGCGCAGTCCATACACCGCAACATACCGGCTACGTTCAACGTCTACGTCTCGCGCTGAGGAACCCTGGTTCTGGATGTACAACTATCCGTCTCTCCTGCGCGTCTCCCTCGACGACTGCTTTCTGACGCCCGCGTTTGCCTGCCAGCTGCTGCACACAGGCGACGTACCACCCTCTCACCTGGCCTCGCATGTCCGGAGGCTACACCTCAACGTCGCGCGTCCAAATTCGCTTCTGTACGGTGACCTAAACGTAAGTACAGCTGTTCTACATGCTATCCTAGTGTCCGTATGCTGACTACTGTCAATCTGCTCCTACAGTCCTCTCTCGCCCCGTCTACGAGCGTCGCTCCCCGCAGACACCGCCCTGTTCACGCGCTGTAACGCACCGTCAGCGACGTCCACAGAGGACAAGATCACGCACTTACCACGTGTCCGCGCACGCCCAGCTCGACGTGCACCGAGACTACCTCGACGTCAACGCAGCCAGCACAACGCCCCCGCCTACAAACAACACGCTCAGCACGACGACACGGCCAGCACGGACAAACTCACCTGGCCACGACCACGGCGAGCAGCTCGCAACGAGCAGCGAGCACAGAGGACAAGAAAACGAGCACAGGGCAAGCACGAGCGGACACCGACACCCCATCCCCACCCCACCCACCCTCTTATACCGCCCCACTTCCGGGCAGGCTCTCGCTCCCGGCCGGACGGACGCACGTACTACGTGCACCCTCCCCCACTTCGCCCCTCCCCTCCGCGCCCTCGCAACCCGTCCGCCCGCCCGCCCGCCCGCGTA